GTCACTCCCTTCAAAGTGTCTTGGGTTCCTCTCATTAATGCTAATTCCTACCTGCATTTCCATGCAGATAACAGGAAGCTTGCTGAGCAATCAACACATTCTGTCCACTTAGGCCTGGCAGGGCTGCAGGGAAATTGCTTTTTGGTAAAGAACGCTTGTGCAGTGAGCACAGTGGGCCCATTTTATACTTATTCTCTTAAACTTGTGTTCCAGCCATACTCATCTATCTGTCTCCTAATAAAGGACAGAAAAAGACAAAATGATCCTATGTAAGCCTGTGGTGCAATATGGGAGAAAAATACCAAACCACACTGAACTCAGCCTTTGATGCCATCCAGGAAGAGATAGTGGTTCACACCAAGAGCCCAGAGAGAGCTGGGGGATTCTAGATAAAATGCTGATAGCACTATGTGAACTAACAACAAGCTACAGAAGCAGGACTCAGAGAGGGGCTGCTTCCAGTGAGGCCCTGATAGGAGCTGGTGGGGTGAGGTCTGCACACCTGGGTGTGGGTGACAGACCCTGTGCTGTTCTCTCATAAAACACCCAACACTGTCCATAAACAGGTTTCCAGAAGGCCAGCCCTGCTAGGATGCTGAGAGCTCCAGGCTGAGACCAGTTCTGTTCCACAGCTCGGAGGCCAGCAGTGGCCCCACTGCAGTTGACCCTGAGGCTGGATGCTGGGCAGTCCAGGGCCTCACTCTTTGCCCCCTTTTCTGTTCCCCAGCAGCAGCCTTCTCAGTGCCCCCTTCACCTCCTTGTTTCTGAGGGTGTAGATCAGGGGGTTCAGGAGGGGGGTGACAATGTTGTAGAAGAGGGTGAGGAACTTGCCCTGGTCCTGGGAGGAGCTGTGTCCTGGCTGCATGTACATGTAGATGATGTTCCCGTAGAACAGGGAGACCACGGTGAGGTGGGAGCCACAGGTGTTGAAGATTCTGTGTCTTCCTGAGGATGACTGGATTCTGAACACAGCCCTGACGATGTGGCCATAGGACACCAAGATGAAGACCAGGGGAGACAGCACGATGCCCACGGCCAGGACAAAGACAGTGCCTTCTATGGCCACTGTGTTGACGCAGGCCATACGGATCAGGGCTGGCATCTCACACAGGAAGTGGTCCACCTTGTTGTGCCCGCAGCGGGGTAATCGTAGGGTCACTGGAGACATGACCAAGGAGTTGGCTGTTCCACAGCCCCAGGCCACTGACACCAAGCCCAGGCAGAGCCTGGAACTCATGATCACCGTGTAGTGCAGGGGCTTGCAGACGGCCACAAACCTGTCATAGGCCATGACGGCCAGCAGCAGACACTCCACTCCACCCAGGCCCAGGAACAGGAAGAGCTGGACCATGCAGCCCACATAGCTGATGGTCTTGTCATGGCCGTTCAGGTTGTAGAGCAGCTGGGGGATGGAGCTGGTGGTGAAGCTGAGGTCTAGGAAGGATAGGTGGGTGAGGAAGAAGTACATGGGCGTGTGGAGCCGGGGGTCCAGCCGAGACACCAGGATGATGGTGCTGTTGCCCACCAGGGTCAGCAGGTAGGCTACCAGGATGACCACAAAGAGGACCCTCTCCAGGTGGGGGTGGTCAGAGAAACCCAGGAGGATGAAGTGGCTCTGGGTGCTGCCATTGGTCCCATCCATCTCTACTGCACCTGAGGAGAGGTGTCAACACCAGTAGTGGCACCTGCTGATGCTGGAGTATGGACTCCTCGCCAGGCTTAGAGGAGCACAGAGCAGGATTTTTTACTCACCTAAGCCCTAAACACTGGTGTGGAGGCTCTGCTATGATTATTATCTACAAAGTATAGAAAAGGAAACTGAGGCACTACCGGTATGTTAAGTAAATGTCACATGTGGAGAGGCAGAGCTGGTCTGCCCCAGGGTACGTTCCTGCCATCTTCATCCGTATCCACCCCTGTGCTCTGTCATTCCAAAGAGGAAAGGCACACACCTGCCAAGCTCCAACCTCTGCTTCTTCCAGAGTCACAAGTTCCTGAGCTCAGAGGCACAAAAAAACACTCCAAACAACCCCCTGATAGGATTTAGGAAATAGCAAATGCAGCTCATCCTTGAACATCACCGGTTTGAACTACATGTGTAAACTTCTACAAAAATCTTTTTTTAAGTAAATGCATTGGAAACATGTTTGGAGATTTGCAAGCATTTGATAAAACTTGAAGAAAAAGCATGTGACCATAAATACCCACCAAATTTAAGAAACATTTAGAATGTCATGAATGCATGAAATACATGCTGGTAATGCTACCTTTTTATCATTTACTAACATAAAATATACATAAATCTTATATAAAATTAAAATGTATCAATATTTTCACAAACAGAGAGACCATATAACCTGCCACTTGCAAAGGAGAGAAATGGAAACCAAAGCAAATTGTATTAGGCATCATCAATGCAGAAGAGGAACTCAGGGAGCCTGACTCTTTGCGATGACCTCAGCCACCCCTGGTGTGGAAAAAAATGTGTCCTTCTTCTCCCTTAATAAATGGGGACAGAATTCAAAGCCCTGGAACGTGTGTGGTGGTTACCTGGTTAGGTTTCTGACTCCCACCAGGAAAAACAGACCCCTAGGAGCACCAGCAGTCCTGACTCCTGTGACCCTCTCCCCACAGGGCAGAGGAACTCACCTATAGACCCCCAGGGAAAGGGCACGCTGCACATGGAACCTTACCTGGAGGAGGTAATGACGTGTTGAGAGGAGCTTCCTGGGTCCTCAATCCTAGGGAGCCCCTCACCCTCTTCACCCAGTGCACATATTGCTTCCTTTTTAGGTAAAATTCTAAACCATAGCTCCCATGAAAGGAAATCAAAACTGGCACAGATTCTATGGTCCCACATTCACCATCACTCTAGGTCAGACACAGTACCTCCAACCCGGAAGTGAACAGTAGTCACCGTTCTGCCCCATTAGGTCATGACTCAGACTCTCAGTCTGAGTGGAACAACTTAATATGGCACTCACTTAAAGCCTGTGACCAGCACCCCAGAGCACGAACAGGGAGGAAGATGTAATTTTAAACCTTTAGCAGGCCACAGTAGAGTTGGACAAGTTGAGCACTGAAGACCTCACAAACTGACAGCCTCTCTTTTCTCCTATAGCTGTACCCAATAAGTGATTGGCTTTGTAGTGACTGGTCTGAAGAGAGCCTCAGCTCATGCTCCTACTATCACACACATTGTGCATGCTGACCTCTCAAGCTCCGAATTCTGCTTTTCCTGAAAATCCCTTTCCTATTGATTTAGACCCTTAGGTAGTGGGTTGCAGTCAGGATGCTGGTACAATGGACAGAGCCAGCACTCACTGTGGTGTCTTCTGCCTCCCTGATGTCACCAGTTGATTGAAAGTAGCTGGAACAGTGGTACAGTGCACAATTCCTAGACCTTCCAGGGAGCAGAAAAACACACAAAATAATTTATTTTAGCAAAACTGGGTAAAAATCCCATGGTGTTGGCTGTTTTGAGAACGTTGACCTATACTAGAACCTTGCCTTTTTCCAAGAGCATTGCTGAATGTAATATAATATAAAGTGCACTTGTGAATTTTGAGATCAAATTCAGAGGAAAAAGGCATGCTTGACACACAGATAGAGAATGCAGTGGCCCTCAGGGCATGCCCCTCAGGTGGAGGCCACACTGTCTAACAAGCCCTGATCTGTCACAC